AGTTGTTACTTTGGACATTTCTAACGATGGAATTTACGTAACTTACGAAGACCTCCAGAAGTAAAGCAATGTTTTACCTTTGAAATTGACGCGGCATAGAGTAAATATTAGACAGAAGTTGCAAGTTATATTAGTACCTATCAGTAGTCAGTATATTATGGGAGTAGATACCTACTGTTAGTGCCGAATACAAATATTATCTCGCCATCACATTCATGCTACAAGGCACAGTACAGATAATACAATTTATGACATAGGTACGTACCTAAATAAAAACAATTTAATGTAATTTGAATATATTTATTTTTTACATTTGTATATTATACTGGGTACATTTATTACATTATTGCTTATTTGTATTCCGGTATTCGTATTAATTTGTTTTTAAATTTTTTGTATTATAATAAGAATCTTTCTTGCTTATTATTGTAAAACAGTCAATGACCAATGTCAATAAAGAAAGAAAGAATTGGAGCATAATAGTGAAAACACTTATTCTTATAATTTATTAATTATTTTACCTATAGATTTTTTTGTTTATAATTTTTGAGTATATTTTTTTTGGATATTTTGACTGTTTGTTGCATTCAACAATAATACAATATTATTGTCCTGCCTCTGTTGTGCGTTGTACCTATATTGTAATATTATTACTACAATACGTAATGCTGTTGAAGCCGCCGTCGTTTTGATGACGTAGTCCGTATGGAACGCGGGTCGCGGGTGGAGGTACAGTATTATTATTATTCACGGTTTCTGTGTGGCCGTGTACGTCAGTGCGTGCGTGCACGCGCCTTATGTGTGCTTGTGCGTACGTACGTGCGTGCGTTTGCGTGTATGCGTTGGCCCCGGCGACAATTATTATTATTATTCGTACTGCAGCCGCCGCCGCCGAGATTATCAGCCGTCGTTGTGTGCGTGCGTGAGCGTGTACCCGTCGTGAACGTGTGCGTCCGCGAACGGGTGTGAGTGTATAGTAAAACGGCGAAGGGGGATAAATATAATGGAAAGAAAAAATAAACTGACAACAGCGACGACGACGAACCAGTATTTGTTACACACGATAATCGTCATTCGTCCGCCGTCGAATTTTATTTTCTAGTACGTTTAGTATTATTACTTTTCTGCGTCGTCCGGCGGCCTTTAAAATACATATTGCCATCGAGCAACTAGATTATTATTATTCATTTTTATCTTATTCGTTTTATCCGTCACGATAAATACCGTACGGCCGTCGCCGTCGTCCGCAGTGTGACGTCCAAAGCGCGCCAGTGTGCTCTGTTACGCCGTCGGCGGCTGTCGTCGTCGTCGTCGTATTCTTCCTCCTCGTCCTCCTCAACAACACACACACACACACAGCAGCGCCCTTTAGACGTTTCGGTTGTCGCTCGACACTTTTTTTTTTTCGCTTCACTCGTCTGCCGAACGCGCAAGCCCGCTCACTCGCGCTGCCACCACCGTTTGAAAATGTCCCGGGAAAACGTTTGACTTTCCGCGCTATAAGTTGAATCCGTTACGCCAATATCGTCCAGGTAACATTCCAACTTGTTGTTTGTGCTACGACAGTATCTATTTTTATTTTTTTTAACTGCCCACTATTTAAATTGCTACTGTCAATACGAAACCCCGTTTATTCATCCTGTAGTACAATTTTGTTTTTAAATCTCTGGATTATAATATTAGCCATACGTTCTAAAGAATTGATTAATATTAGATAGGTAGGTGGTATTTATTTTAGTTTTATTAATTTACTTTTAAACATCTGACACTGAAATAATCAAGCTCACTTTGAAACAATTTACCTAGTTTGACTTTTCAATTGTTTAACAAATTCTACCTATACAATTTTAAAAATATAAAATATTTTTCGTTGAAAGCCATAAGCAGAAATGTTTCTAACTTATCTTCATTCAATGCAGTTTGGATGTTAATTATATTGGTTTTTAATATTAAAAATGTGAGTTTACAATTTAAAGATTACAAAACTTACTTCATTTTAACTTTTATCGCTTAATACTATTAAATTATGTCCGTCGTGTTACAAAAAATTAAACAGTTCCTACTTATCTTCAATTTAAATATCTATAGTTGTAAATAGCAATTAAACTAGAAACATTGTACTTTAGAAAAATAAAACATCTAAGCAGCTAACAGCACGCTTAATTTTCTTCTCAAGAATTGTTGTAAAAGTTTGTGTCATGAATATCGACAATATCTATATTATTGAAGGTATTTATCCTCATACAAATTATGATTATAGGTAGACATAATAATCATATTCTTAAAACTTTTAAATTTAATTCCAACTTAAAGAAAAGTTTATTAATTCTTATTGTTAGCTATCAGTAGTACCTAGTAGTCCATAAATCTATCAAACTCGGTAGGTACGTGACAAATAAGGTATAACTCACAATATTTGATTTTTTTTTTTAATTTTCTCTTCAATTCCTGTCGTATAGGTACCTATACTATTTTATTTATATAGTACATTATTTACTTTGACCAATCATATAATCATGTGACATTTGGTTTATTTGGTCAATTGGAAGTAGGTACATACTACCTATTTAAGTTTTATTTTTATGACTGCCGTCCATTAGCTCTTCAAAAGGTATATCTTTATATATCTATATATCTTTCAAACATTCAACAAATATTTGTTTGGTTTGTAAGCATCATACTGTCAGTTACCAAACAAATGCAGTTGTACAACATGGTGACAAGGGTGTTTTTTCTTCTGAGATAAAATTGTTACTAACACGATAATCGTGACAGTTGACACCGTGTGTAGTATAATATGATTAAGGTCTATAAAGTTGTGTTCGTCAAGACGCCCGGTGCCAATGTAATTTTGTACACAAAAATATGCTCTACTGGAGTAATGATCCTGTTCTATAAACTCAAACAAATTTGATAGTTTTTTTTAACTAATAGTTAATATTTAACAGGCCGTATCGAAATCCGTTTTTCAATATTTTAATCTCAAACTTTATAATACCTGTCTTAATAAATAATACAATTTTAAGTTTTGTTTTATAAATTATATTATACCATTATTTAAAATAAAATAAAAAATCTGAGCTTGATGTTGCCTGTATGAAGTCTCCTTTTTGATAAAAAAAATAACTATAAATATCTGACAATCCTAGGTACAAGGCCTGAGAATTATTTCTGTTAAGTCATCTTTTCCGACATAATACACATTATCAACCCCCCTAAATAGGTATCGAGTAGCAGATTAGTTTAAAAGTATTAATTTAAGCTTTATTTATTTATTTAAGATAAGATTCGTTTTAAGCGATTTATAAACCTATTCACACTGTTCTAATGTGTTACTTTGGAAACAACTTATAAGTTTATAAGACCTATTAATATTATATGAAATAATATTATACTGATAAATTTATAATATATTGCCCATCAAAAGTGCTTTGTTCAATTTGTTATTTAATATAGGTAGGTATAATATTTGATGTTAGCGTACAAAACTTAAAAATGTTCATTGATCATATTGAATCTCAAAATACTTGTACATGCACCACTTTAAAATGCAAATCTTGGAAGATGCTTTCTTAGTGCACACTTACATGGTATAAGGCAGGCGCGGTTCTAGGACTACATTTTAGTATGGGCAACAGTAGATTTATAATTAAATTTTAACTGCGGTGAATAATATTTCTCATTTCCTCCCCTTCCCCAATAAGGGGCACCAGAAATGTTGGTATGGGCAACTGCCCACCCTGCCCATACGCTAGAACCCCCACTGGTACATGGTACACATTGATCAGTCAGTAAGTCAGCCAGGACCAGTTCGATTATATATTTATAGCCACTCTCCTGGCATTTTCCTTGATTATGCGAGCATTATATTTTCAGATAGGAATCCACCTGCGGTGGATGCAGACCCCTCAAAGTGCATACGTAATTATGATAGTTTATTAACACATTGTTTATGATCCCGCGACAAATATATACAAATTAACGCTAGGAATGCCATTTTTACCATGTTGTATGGTTTTGACCAAATATAATATACATGACGTCTAAAATTATGTTCAATCATAACCAATAGCAATAAACAAAAATATACCTATTATTATTTAGTTTATCTTTTTGCTGGACAAAAGTAGTATTTTTACAATTTAGTGGATTTTGTTTCATACAAACCTTGTCTTGCCAATTACTAACACAACAGAAAATAAATAGCCAAATCTTCAATAGCGTTCTCAAGTTATAGCGTGACCAAGGGGAATAGGGATTAATTTATTTATATATAGATACATAGATATGCAATATGTTTTTAGCAACAATTAGCTACCTACTGTATCATTTATGGATAAATAAACTTCTAATAGCCAAATAAATATATAATAAAATACCCTTTGAAATATAGGCTAACAAATAGTTTCTGCTCTGAATCATTTTTTGTATATATTGATATTTTATTATTGAATTTAAATTTAACACAGCGACCTACTCATTGACGAAGTAGGGAGACTTGATAACTACTATGCAACAGATCGACTTCCCTAGTTTTTTTTATGAATATGGTATTGTGTTATATGTATTAGTAATTAGTATGGTTTTTAGTTTATTTAAATTCAATTTTCTTAAACTTATATATACAAATATATATAACTTATATATTAATTTAGAAGTGTTCGAATGGTGATTACTATTATTCTGAATTAAACTGAATAGTAATATAGTTCACTGAATCCCTTATTACCTATTGGGTACCTACTTGTTATGAACATACTCTTTATAATAATTACCTAATCAATTTTAGTCCTTTAGTCAACTGTGCTACATATTTATTGATTTTTATAAGACGGATTATCAGTTGAAATTAAAAAAGTTATAATAAGTAAATTATTATTTTGATTGGAATTATTATACAATTATTGGTTTTAAAAAATTGTCAGCAATTTTATTTAAAATATTTAGAAACTATTTTTAATAAAGTGGTATTTTTTTTTTGCAGGTATTTAACTATTGCAATGGAATTTTTAATAACAAAGGAATCTGATGAAGACTCTATATTGTCCCCAACTTCTAATGAACCTACCAACGCCAACGCTAAATCTCACAATGTAAAATATTATAATGATGATTGTCTTCTTGATATTAAGGATATAAATGTTGCAAACATTGATCAAGTTAATAATGAAGAAATATCTACTGAATCAAAAACTTTATCAGACTGCCTAGTAGACACCCAAAAATCATTATCAGATTCAGAATGTAGAGTTCAAAATATATTATTTAATATGAAATCTGACGAATACAGCACTACCTCTGATGACAAAACTAACATTGATAGCAATATAAAGCCTTACAATAGTGATGTTAAAAATCTGAGTATGTGTTTACCCTCTTTGACTTCAACTTATATCCCCTCTTGTGAAACTCATGTTCTTTCAAGTACAAATGAAACAACTTATTCAGATGTAAATAATATTTTTACAACTAATAAAAAACGAGGTTTTTCAATTGACGAAATTAGTAAAGATGAAACTTCTCAAAATAGCCAAAGCATGTCAACATACTCAAATGATTATACTTGCTTTTTAAGTGAGCAAACAGATGCTATAAGCAATTTAACGCCTTTCAAAAGAAGTAATAGCTATTATTTTGACTCTCCTGTAAAAAAGTTATGTACTACAAAAATGCCTATCGATGACAAAACAAATGAAATTCTTAACAGCATTGACTTGTACTCAAATAAAAAAGATAATAAAATATTCAGTGGATTTACTAGCATTCAAAATAACTTAGAAGTTGATTGTATACAAGATCGATACGATGGAAGCGACTCTGGATTTGGATCTGAATTAGCAGAAGATAAGAATAGTACTAACTTAGATATAGCAGTTTCAAAATCAAGTATATCTTACAAAACTGATTTTACATTGAACCAAGAATCTAGTTTTGAAGATTTGCAAAGAACTTCAAATGAATTTTTGTCAGCAATGGAAGTGTTGAAGCCAAAATTTTCAGATTCTATTCTAGATACAGGACCATTAGACATAAGGAATAATTACGGAATCGTTAAAGGCATTTTAAAACATAACAAACCCCTTAATTATGGTGTTCCATCATCTGATGTTATAACAGCGAAGAAACGCAAAAATATAAATTTTGCAAATGTAACAGTCTTTTATTTTCCCAGAGTTCAAGGATTTACTTGCGTTCCTTCTCAGGTAATAATTTTAATTATAAATTAATAATAAATAATGTTTAATACATTTAATTTCATTAAATTATTAAATTGTTTATTAATTTTGAATTGTTTTGTATTTATGATTTAAAACATATTTATCAAGCAAATTATTTTTGTTAGGGTGGTTCTACTCTTGGCATGACAAGAGTTCATAGTGCATCACGCGTTTTTTCTCTACCTGAATATATAGCGGAACAGAGAAGAATACGTCGAAACTTGGTTCAACTAAGTCAATCTGAGGTTTCTGGTACAAATAGTGATGACAGTGATAGCGATGTTGGAGCAGCAGATGTTTACTCTGAGTCTGACGCCGATATGGATTCAGATAGCAATGGGAGTTTTTTACAAGTAAGTTAATCTTATTATGTATGATTCACAAAAAAATTAATTTTTTATTTATATTTAGCCCGTACCTACACGACAAAGACGTGCTCTATTGAAGGCAGCTGGTGTTGACAAAATTGATTCTTCAGAAAAGGACGACTGCAAGAGCATAAGACTATCAAGAGAATTCTGTGGATGTTTGTGTCGTGGTTTTTGTGATCCAGATACATGTGCTTGTTTTCAAGCAGGCATAACATGTCAAGTAAGAACTCAAAAACAAAAATTTATTTTAAATAAGTATTATTATTGTTATCACAAAATTAATATAAGATTGGAAAATTGTACTGAGAAATTAAGCCACAAATGTTCTACCCGTATTTTAGTTTTGTCAGTGTTTTCTGAATGGTCGAACTGGTCTAATAAGCACGGGAGAAATAAATTGGCCATTTTACCATGCTATATTTTAGTTTAAATAATAATAATGAGTTATAAAGTTATCTAACTGTATAATATTTTGTTACTTAGGTTGATAGAATGAATTTCCCATGTGGATGCACAGTAGATGGCTGTGGAAATTCTGTTGGTCGCATAGAATTCAATCCTACAAGAGTTCGTAAACATTTCATTCACACCATAATGAGACTTGAAATCAAAAAGAGAGAAGCACAAGAAGAGGAACACTGTAATAAGCTAGCTATGACATCACCACTTATATCTAATTTTTCCTATCATGATTCCAGACATATACAACCGTATTATCAACCACAACACTATGAACACAATTTAAATGATTATAATTATCATTCATTTTTACCTGTTTATGATAACAATCACATTGCCCCAGAAAGTAGTACACTAAACAATTATCAGCTAAATAATTCGCACACTTTATATGAACCGTATCAGTCATTTCCATCTGCGTTTGTGCCTTTATCACAAGATAGACCTAGAGGATTGTCTATTATAGACAATAAGCCCGAAACATTTACAGATTTATTGCAGCCATACAGCTTACAAAGTATTGAAAGTACCGATTCACTGGGTATTCCAAATATTCCAAGTACATTGGTTTCAGATAGTTTTAATTTAGAAACAGAAAATTTAGGAGAAATCATTAAAAATACAATGGTTGAAAGTGTCAATTCTTAAAGTTCCATTCACTGACAACTTGTTAAATAACAAATGTTTTTCTTTAGTTAAATTTTTTTTATTTGTTAAATAAATTAATAATTTTTAACTTGGTTATCCTGATAATAATAGCTTAGGTATTCTCTGTCTCATATAAGAGTAATCACAGGCGGAGAATACTTTATGTACGGTCCGTCTGACCCCTCGATTAAATCGGTTTTCATCTTCAACATTAGTTTTTGATGATTGACCGCAGCCCAACAATTGCTATAACTTAGCAAAATGCAGGTTGTTGGAATAATTGACTACCATGAGTACGGCACTCGACGAGTTAGCCATACCCATTGCTACTGCTGTTTGCGGAAGCACGCCATCTGAGGTTACTTACATAATATGAAACAAAGTATAGCTTACACAAAAATCTATTATATTTTTATAATTTATTTTATCATTTAATTGTGATTGGTGATTTCAATAGACTTTCAAGTTTAAATACAATTTGTGTCCAGACAAGCACTTTTCAATAAATAGTTAATTATTTAAAACTTGTTAAGTTTCAAGAGAATTTTCAAATTTTTCTTTAAATACTTTGCTACTGTTTAAATAGTGGTTTGCATAATTACAAAAAAATTAATAGAAATTAGCGTCTTTTGTATTACTCTAATTGGTATATAATTATATTCTCAATAAAAAAATAAACTAATTTTAGTACTTACGATGAATAAACTATTTTTCTGAAATACATTATGAGATCTCGTATTGATAATTGTACAGTAGAACCTCGATTAACCGTCAGTCTCGTAACCAGAGCTTTGACGGATAATCGAAAAGACCGTTAAGCGAGCAACAAAAATTTAAACATATATACATATTATTTACTATTTTTTTTTAGTAATTATGACATACATATTGATATAATTAGGTACTATTACTTATTGGTACATTATTATTATTTTTAATTTATTAAAAAGTTTTATTATTTACAATTACTTAACAATTAATATTATAAAAATCGGTAAATTTTTGTTGTTTTAACATATTACGTGCTTTTTTGGCTGCCATATCTCTTATTCTTCGAAGCAGTAATAGCTGAGTCGCATCAGCTTCAGCGTGGGTGATAATTTTTGTAGGTTCTTCAAATTCCTAACCTAACCTATCACTTATACGCTTATCTAGTAGATATTTCTGGAAAGTTTCGGATTACATACAGTAGACGCCGCTTATAAGACTCACTTTGGGACCAGCACAAAGTGAGTCTTATAACCGAATGAATCTTATAGGCGAAGTGGAAAAAAAAAAATTAATTACGTATTTATAAATGTTAGATGAAAATGCGTTAGATTAGCACTCATGTTAACAACAAGAAAGCAAGCGTTGAATTCGAATATGACCTTTTATCTGCGATAAAAATTATTATACGTTATAAGGTACCACCAGAATCTAGAAAAAATCAACACGAATATTATTTAATTTTTCAATACCAATTTATTTCTAAATTATAACCAAAAAAGTTTATTTTCTACTATTTATTTTACGAAATTTGAGTCTTATAACCGATTTTTTTTAATGTATTTGGATACGTCCGGACCGTTCCAGACGTTTTTGAGTCTAATAAGCGACTGAACCTTATATCCGTGAGTCTTATAAGCGGCGTCTACTGTATATGTATGTATATATTATTATTTATAACCTACTCATACAAAAGTGGCCTGACGGTTAACCGAGAAAGACGGTTAATCAGGGGACGTATAATCGAGGTTCTACTGTATTACAATTGGAAAATGTTTCTTTTAAAATTAATTTATAAAACCTTACGTCATCTGAAGTCCATAATAATTAAAAATTGAATGTTGTGATTTTTAAGTTTGCTTCTCTTATGTTATTCTTTTTGTCTTTTCTATAAAATTTGCTATTTATTTTATTATTAATTAAGAGGTTTAAGGGAAAAGGGACAAAAAGCTGGTTTAGGATGTTATATATATTGGAGTAACATTATTCTTGAATATTTATAATAACCTATTTTATGGCTACCTATGTATTTAAAGCAATTTTTTACTAAATCTATGAAATGTGATAGTATTATTTTTGTTTAGTTTAATTAATAACAGTTTCAGACAACTCTAAATCACTCAAATAGTAAAAATCATCCTAATGTCACCCAAAACCAATTTCATTGTTGGCACATTTTAATAGTATTTTATTTATCTTTATTTTTTTTTCAAATTTTGTTAATTGCATTTTATTCATACTTTTGAGTCTTTTTGGTTAATTTGTACCCATATATCAATATTTTTGTTCATTGTATATGGGTATTTAATGAATCGCTTATACTTTTTTTTTTACAATTTCTTGTATTAGAATATTATAAAATTAATTTAAAGATGTGCTAAACTGAAATGTATTGGCTTCCCATGTCACATTGTGGAAACTTATATTATATTATTGTAAAATGTGAATATAAGTTACTTATAAATTTGTATATTAGTTTAAAACAGGCGATGGATCCTTTGTGCAATGTATTAAGATTTTACTATAAATTGGTGTCTAAGAATACATTATAGTGTTTTCTAGTAAAAATATTGAGTTTATTTGCATAGGATTAAGTCTAACTGTTTTATTATTGTGATTGTATTATGATCATTAGTACTATTATTATTTTAAATATTTGTATATTAGTTATTATTATTTTGACTTATGAGATTATTTTTTTAAATGTATCCTGTTTTTTATCATTATTTTGATTGGCATATTTACAATACACAATCCCAAAATTATAAAGCTGACCAAATAATGTAACCCATGAAAAAAATTAATTTAATGAAATCGCCATTTTTAAGTCTTAAGCATGTATTAAGCATCTTATTATTGAATATTATAAAAATGCCTTAAACACTAATTTATTTGAAACAAAAATAATTTTCATCTTGTAATAATCACACCTTAGCACCTTTAAATAATGAAATCAAATTGATATTTATATTAAGGTAAGCTTGTTATAGTTTAGTTAATTGTTTTAGTAGATTGTCAATTATCGCAATTAGTGTATCAGTGCTGTATTTGTGTAAGTGTGTTTGCTAATAAAATTAATTACAATTATTAATATTCATATACTGTAATAATTATTACTAAGTGTTTTGTTGTTTTTTATGCCCTACAAGACTTAATATTTTTGTCTATTCATTTTCTTAACATGTGTGGGACTTATAATGAAGCTTTTGTGTGTTGAGACATTGTGTTGTAAGTTGATTTTAGACACTGGACGTATTTTCGAGATAATGTAATCGGGTTTAAGTGTATACAAAAGTGCATATTATAGTACAATAATATGTATAATATTCATAATAGTATATTTATGTTTATCAATTATTGTATAATGAAGTAAATAAAACTATATATTTTGCCTAGTTAATCTCGAAAGCACGGCTATTGTATTCAATATTACAAAATGTTCAAAGTGCAATGCTTTTGAATCTAGTTTCAGTGTCATTCAATGACCATAATAAACAAATCATGTACCAAGTGTAATAATTGTAGTAGCCCTACATAGTTTTACAATTAAAATTGTGCACATCCTTAATATTTATTAGCCATACAAACAACTTAAAAAAAAACTTGCTGGTTTGGTGACTGATTACTACCTTTGAATTCTTAAATGGTGTCACAAGTATATGATGTTGGTGTTATTGTCAGACATATTGTGATAACTTCTTTAATTAATCTTTTATATTTATATTTTTAAAGTGTAATTAAAAGCTACTGCAATAATATAGGTATTTTTATTTTTTGTCAATTTTCCTTAAAAAATTGTTGTCCATATTTATCTTCCTGTAAATACTATTGTTTTGTCATCGAATTTTGTTTCTCGGGATGGTATAAATGTACTCAAAAATAATATTAAGTTTATATTATGAACATTTTGGTGGTAATCTATCATTTATATTTTAATGTAATCAGATTTAAATTCTATAAATTAGAAGATAAGGAACTTATTATATAAACATTGAGAATACATTTATTAATTAATTAAAAATATTTGTACTGTATACTTATGAAATAACGAGAACGGGTGACAGATTAAATGATTTTTAATTTTAATATTTACATTTTGGATATATATATTTGTGCTTGTTTAGAATCTACACCAACGACTCAAAAAAAAAAAAAAATCACAGAAATCTTTGGTATCCTATTTTAAACAATAAACTAAGGATTAATAATATACTTATAATTATTATTTGGTACATATAATATTATATGTATACATAATTGTGAATTTTATGTGAGAATTATATTGAATAATTTGTGCATATGAAAATACAAGCAATTTAAAATTGAATAGAATCAAAAATAATAAAAATTGTGTGTTAATATAATTAATCTTAAATTTGTAGGTCAAATGTAACACTTTTCTCTTCCAGTATGTCTTGAAAAGGATCACGTGTTGGGATCTCCATGGAATTTAAAAAAATTAACCCAGGCAACCAACTATTTTCCGTACAATTAAGTTAATACCTACATTTGTTCGTAAAATATTTTGTTTACATCCGAGTCTTTTATTAATTGTTTTAAAGAATTAATTAAATCTGAAGAAGTTTCGTAAGATACAAAAAGCTGTAGCCAGGTATCGAAAATCCAGAAGAGGATTCAACAATTTTCCGCCTTTATCCCTATCCTTTATAAGCTCATAAAAGTTATAAAATATGAACTTTTTTGAATATCCCAAAAAATATTACAAATATTAAATAAAGTTTCAATAAAAGTTTTAATAGATAATTTACAGAAAAACAGTTTTTCTGTATTTTTTATCTAAACAAATAGTTTGCTAGAAGTTATATTGGCTTAAAAATTTACGGTTAAAAAATTATTAATTATTTTCTCTCTTTTTCCGTGTTAAATTTTTTTACACTATTAAATATATTTTTGTGTTCTACAAATTAAATGTAAACGATTCAATATAATAACATAATAAAACATAGTAAAAATTAATATTTTTAAAACCATCAATAGATCACAATATGCCC